CATCGAAGTATGTATATTTAACTCAAGCGCTGGATTTGTGTACCTAGTCCACCACTGCCATAAAAAAATAAACTTCATAGTTTTGATGTCACATGGTTTATAGAAAGCAAGTCTTACTCAGAGCTGTAACGTCTGTCTCAGAGAGCTGACAGTCCACCAGGCGGAGTTCTTTCAGTGTGCTTTCAGCTTGGAGGTGTTCTGTGAAGTGTCTGAAATTTCCTGCACCAATGCCAATATTCCAGGACAAATCTAGCACCTCTATTAGAGGAATGCAGTCAAGAGCCTCACCTGGAATATCATTTTAGGAGAGGTTTGCCAGTTGTTCAAAATTGTTTCAGCCTTAAATCAGGCCAATTTCAAGATTTCAGATATGATTTTGCAAAGAAAAGTCTGTGTATATTTAGTATTTTAGCTCATGTGTGTGGTTTCAGCTTTAATTGTGCATTTTTTTGTAAGGTCTTTTAAAGGGGTAGTTCACCCAAAATGAATATTCTGCCATAATTTACTCACCGTCGTTTCAAACCTGTTTGACTTTCTTTCTTCTGTAGAACATAAAAGAAGATATATTGAAGAATGTTGGCAACCAAAGATTTTTGGTTCCCATTGCATGACCAACAAATATAATGGAAGTTACAAAAACTCTTTGGTTGCCAACATTCTTCAAAATATCTTCCACAGAATAAAGAAAGTCATACATGTTTGGAACAACATAAGGGTGAGTAAATTATGCTATTTTTATATTTGGGTGAACACCCCTTTAAGTCATGATGATACATTTATTAAATGCAAATGGATGGATGGGCGGACAGATGATAGATCAATAGATAGATCGATAGATAGATAGATGGATGGGCAGATAGATAGACAGATGATAGATCAATAGATAGATAGATAGATAGATAGATAGATAGATAGATAGATAGATAGATAGATAGATAGATAGATAGATAGATAGATAGATAGATAGATAGATAGATAGATAGATAGATAGATAGATAGATAGATAGATAGATGATATATCGATAGATGGACGGATAGATGGACGGATACAGAGATAGATAGATAGATAGATAGATAGATAGATAGATAGATAGATAGATAGATAGATAGATAGATAGATAGATAGATAGATAGATAGATAGATAGATAGATAGATAGATAGATAGATAGATGATATATCGATAGATAGATAGATGGACGGATACAGTAATAGATAGATAGATAGATAGATAGATAGATAGATAGATAGATAGATAGATAGATAGATAGATAGATAGATAGATAGATAGATAGATAGATAGATAGATAGATAGATAGATAGATAGACAGATAAGATAGATAGATAAAGATAGATAGATAGATATATCGATAGATAGATAGATAGATGGACGGATAGATGGACGGATACAGTAATAGAAAGATAGATAGATAGATAGATAGATAGATAGATAGATAGATAGATAGATAGATAGATAGATAGATAGATAGATAGATAGATAGATAGATAGATAGATAGATAGATAGATAGATAAGATAGATAGATGATATATCGATAAATAGATGGACGGATACAGTAATGGATGGATGGATGGATGGATAGATGTTTAATTACATTGTTTTTCTATAATAAATGAATACTTCCTGTACCGAGAGCAGTGAGGTCTTGAGCTGTTAATCTGCAGTTACACAGCTTCATCACTCTCAGCTTCTCTACATGCTGCAGGTGGACAGTAAGTGCCTTCAGGGAGCCTCCAACCAGATCATTCCAGGACAGGTCCATCACCTCCAGCTGAGCCATAAATGGCAGTAAGGTGGCTGAGACAACGTCAAAACGGTAATTAGCGATCCAGACACATGTACGGTTTTGTGTATGTTACTGTGTGAAAACAATTCTGTCATAACACCCACCTAGTTCCACCACATCTGTGGCTGTCAGATCGCAGTGGCTCAGGCTCAAATTCTGACTGTGAGGGGTTTTCCCAAGCTTCTGAACGAATTGCTTCACCCGACCCCAGCCCACAACAGAGCCAGTCTCATCATCTGTGTTATTGATCTCTAAAGGAAAACAAGGGTTTGTTCATTTATATTTACATCGTTATATCTTCTAAATGTCTAATCTACCTTTCCCAGGGTCGTTATTTTCTTTTCCTTCACTGGCCTCTGATTCCTTCATTTCAGGTATGTTGCTATTTCTCTTGTCACTGCTTTCCGATGGGCGGAAGAGGCGACCCACTGCTGGTTTCTTTCTCTCCGTGAAAGAGGCTTTCCTTCTGAGCTGGTTCATAAGGAGATCCAGAGGAGATCTTTTCTGAACACTCTCCTTCCCTTTGGTAGCTTCTGCAGTGTGACGATAAAAATGGATTTGAAGTTCAATCCAAATGTATTATTTGTTTGTGTTGCATAATTGCATCAATGGTGACGTTTGAGAAAATAATTTGTGTTAAATACCAAAATCTTAAAAATATAGTATATTTTTCATAAAAAGATCTTTATACCATTGATTTTTTTTTTTACCGTATGTGCTAATGTTTGTGTGTGTGTGTGTGTGTGTGTGTGATTTCACCAAGTACAACATTTTTGTTAATCCTGGAACAACATTCTAATCAACCAATCAGATTTATGAGGTTTAGATATAAGTTTAGCATGTGCAGGATGATGGTGCATCAGCCAATGTGTTATTATAGTAAATACATTTGCTAATTTAGTTGTTATAGCACAAAATGTAAAATATAAAAGAGGGGTAAGTTGGCCCACTACCTGGGGTACCCCATGTTACTCCTATATTGTTCTATAAAATTCAACATATTCTGCATTTAACAATAATGGGATGGGGTTAATTCTGATTAACTAGTAATATAAAAATGGTTTTTAAAAAATTGTCAGTGTGTGTAAAATTTGTAATTTTGGGGGTTCAATGTGACCCGGACCTGCTTTGACAGACCTCAGAATTCATGCTGCCAATAACATACCTGTCGAATCCATTGCTTTTTATAAGAAGATCTCGTCTCATCTGCAGGTAAATTATGTACGGTTATTCTGTCCTTTTCCAAACTGAAATATAAATACACAAACCATTAAAATCATTATGACTGACAATCGATTTATTTAGCCTACTTGTTTACTTTGTCTTGACCCGCGGTGAAACGACCTGTTTTAAAATCATTAAATCGAAATTGTTTAATGACTCGAGTTGTTCCTACCTTGAAATGTTTCTTGAAGTTGAATCTATTAAATATAATGCATTCATCAGTGCGCGATGATTTTCATAAGCAGATTCAGTCCGCATTTACACCTGTTTCACATTCATACCCGGATCCCGGAAGTTAAGCTGAACTTTGGCTGTATAAAACACTGTAAACAAAGAGCTGTCACATGAATCCGGTCACTTTAAAGCCCCATTCATTGAAAATCGTAGTTATTCATTTATGAAAATTGCACTAACCCATGAATCTGCTGAGTGAACACCGGAGGTGGTTAAGCTATGTGCCAACAGACCTTCTCAACACAAATTTACAATGGTAATTTTGGAAACAGCTGAAATAGCACAAGTTAGTTCCTACAGTTAGTGTTTTAAAACCAATACGGAATCTCCTTCAAACAGTGTAAGAAGCTTCTAAAAATCTTTGTCATTTTAATTATTTTTAATGGCTGTGACCAAGTTACTATAGTTTGATTGCATTATCTAACATTGAATATTTTTGTGATTAAAGGTGTTTTCTTATTCGAAGGAAATGTGCTTTGAGACAAGCCTTTGAAAAGATACAAGCCAGTGTATATAATGATTTATATATAATCATTTTTATTATTTTCCCCAGCAACCGAACATTAATATATCATTTCCATTGAGTTGTTGTAGAAAGATGACATACAAAAGTTGGTGGGTGATACAAAGTGTCTCGATCACAAGTGGAGGTAGGACAAATGTGTCATGTCATACGATACACACAAAAGATGGCACTGGCAAAGATAATTAAGTTACATTTTATACGTGACAACATTTTTGTGTGAAATGTTAGGAAACAATACTCAGTATATCTGTATTTTCTATATATTATATATTTCTTCAATCTCACATGCATAAGTCAACTGGAAAATCAAAAAATGAAAATCAAATAAACATCGTAGCAGCAGTCCAGAGGTATTTATCAGTCATACGCCTGACTACTCTATACATCCACTTCTATACACAACCTATATTTTATGTTTTTATACGTATATATCTGTGTTTGTTTGAGGTAGCAACTATTTAATTATTCTGTTAAATTTTGGATATAAAAGCAATTACAGATAAACACGCTGATTGTCAGTTTCAGCAAACAATATCAATACATAATTCCCCCCCCCCCCACACAAGAATAACATCTCTCTCTGAGCAAAGTACACAGACCTGTTTGTCTAGATGGTTTATAGAATGTAAAGTACAAGGAGCATTTCATATACTTAAACTGTAATTGATGTGAGTGTTTCAACTTCTACCATCACTTTTAAAATCTATAATATTGTTTATTTCCATTTGGTGTTAGAAGTCCTCGAAATGAGAAAGAATAAAATTCTGATGTTCATTAAAGGAGGCAAAACATTCACTGGAAATGGCATAGAAAACATTTTCTGTTATATTTGTACTTCATACCACAGTGTAAACAGTATATTTATCCATATTTAATGAAGGTACACATGCATATATTTTGTACATTCATATTCATAATGAGCACTACCTACATAAAATATAAACACAAAATATGGCTAAAAGCATGTTAAATATGTATAATTTGATAAGATTATTCACATAACATTTATCAATAAACAATAAATATTTTTTTAAAAAATATCAGTTGTGATGTTCTTTTAAACAATTCCAATAGTCAAAAAGAAATAATTTTCCATTTGATATCAGTAGCAGTGATAAACCAAGATGGATGGTGTTGATTGTACACTTGCAGGTTTAGTGCTTTGCATAATGTCTCGAACTACTTAATAAATCCTTATTCACGTGTCTGAAAAAAGAATCAGTTCAGCTCAATAGTTACTCAACTTTTCAACAAATTCACAGCATAAAACCCAAACCTACTCAGGATGGCCCATAATTGTAGAATTGTTCCGTAGAACTGCAATAGAAACTACATTGGCATCCGGTTCCAAAATGGAGATACCATTCCAAAATGAATTTTGATCACAGAAATCAGGCTGCTGGTTGGTGACCGTAGATCACGCTAAGGCGTCAGGGACATATGTGTCACTGGAGGCTGAAGACATGGAACTGTCCATTGCAGCCGGGTGCGGAGACTCCCTCATCTGTTGTTTGAGCTCAGAGATGGTACGTTCCAGCCTCTCTCTGGCTTCTCTCTCCCTGCGTAGCTCTTCCTGCAGCTCCTCGCGGTCTTCCTCAGCGCGGTCCAGCCTCTGGCGCAGTTCTGATAACTAAGCACAGGAAGCCATTGGTCAGCTAAAGTGATGCGCATAAATTTACGACAGGGTTTGAAATCCAAAAGCTATAATTTTTATAGTTGATTTTTTTTTTATGTTAGTGTGTGTGTGTGTGTATATCAGGGGCGTTGCTAGACATTAAGCTCTACTGGGGCACAGGCCCCCCATTGTTTGTCTGAGATAGCAAGCGTAACTAAGGAGGGCGGGGCTTACCGATAGATAAATCAAATTTGTTTGTTTCAAAAACACTATGCTGGGTAGAGTAACTTAGGGGGGTTCGGGGGCATGCTCCCCCGAGAAAATTTGGATTTCTCGGACCTACATATGTGCATTTTAAGGTGTTTGAATGCCAACAAATTGGATAACAATAGCTTTAAAATCATGTTACACGAATTTCTTTTTTTTTTGTGCCATAAAAGGCAACACTGTATGAAAATAGAAAACTTTAGAAAATAGAAAACGTAGAGAAAACTTTCTTGCACATTTGCATTCTTCTACATTACACAATGTTAACAATGAATAATTAGCCTTTATATTTTTCAAGAATTTACAATTACATCATTTCAATAAATCAATAAAGAGTTAATATATACTGTATAAAATAAAGAGCATGTATATTCTAAAAGAAAACAAAGTTCCCCAGCCAAGTCCAAACTAAGTTGATTTATTTGTTGAGCATTAGAACTAGGCGACCGCCTATGCTTCATTTTGGCAAAACGGTCAATCACTTGACTCTGACTCAATTTTACTTTTAAGAGTATTTGTATTATTTAGAAACGTTTGTTTCGTCATGTTTTCATAGCCTACCTCGCGTGCCAACACCGGACTTCGGTGTGCTCAGATGTGTGCGCGCTGCTGTTGCTAGGAAACACAGACGCGCGCGGATTTCTGTCGCGTGGGTCAGCTTCTGTTTCGGTTAAACTGCGTTGCTTTTACAAGCATTGATTGGTTTATTACTGCGTTGCAAATAGATCATTTCTATTACCCTATAATATAATTTATATTAAATACACTGACAAATAAAATAAATTGTTAAACTCAAACTTCAGATTTACTGGGGCACAGCAGATTTATACTGGGGCACGTGCCCCAGTAAAATGGGTCTAGCAACGCCCCTGGTGTATATATATATATATATATATATATATGTATATATATATATATATACACACACTAACATAAAAAAAAAATCAAAAATCAACTATAAAAATTATAACTTTTGGATTTCAAACCATGTCATAAATTATATATATATATATATATATACAAGCTACTGTTCAAACATTTGGGGTCAGTGAGTTTTTTTTAAAATAAGTTAATACTTTTATTCAGCAAGGGCCATGCTATTATGACATCACTTTTCTCAGCAGAACTGCTTTAGAACTGAATTTATCACATTCCATAATTAATTAACTAACTGATTTCAACTGAATAATGACAATTTACTATTATCTTTTTAGAGCTGCTTTACAGCAGAATTTATTTCCTTGTTTATCACTGTAAAGCTGCTTTGAAACAATCTGTATTGTATAAAGCGCTATATAAATAAAGGTTACTTTAACTTAACTATTTAACTTATTTAATTATCAAACAATCCTGAATTTCTTTTTATCATGGTTTCGACAAAAATATAAGCAGCACAACTGTGATTATAATAAGAAATCGGCATATTAGAAGGATTCCTGAAGAACCATGTGACACTGAAGACTGGAATAATGCTGAAAATTCAGCCATCACAGGAATAAATTACATTTTAAAATATATGAAAACTGTTGTAATTGTAATACATTTTCACAATATTACTCTTTTTAACTTTTTACTGTATTTTTGATCAAACAAACGCAGCCTTGGTGAGCATAAGAGACTTAAAAACACTGAAAAATCTGACGAACCCAAACGTTTGAACATTAGTATATTATTTAACATGCTAAGACTACAAATTTATCCGTTTTATTCTAAAAAAATCTGTTTAAAAATTAGGGCTGTAAAATCAATTAATCACAATTAATCGCATCTAACATAAATGTGTGTGTATATATTATATTTAAATATATTATATAATATATTTCTGTGTGTGTATATAATCAAACACACACACACACATATATATATACAGTATATATGTCTAAATATATGTGTGTATATATACAGTATACACACATATACTTTATGTTACATGCGATTAATCGCGATTACTCAATTTTAAAGCCCTAATAAAAAGAAAGTATGATAATTGATGGCCCCGAAAAGGACTTGTGTGGGTGTGTGTGATTGGTCAGTACCTGTTTGGCATAGATAGTTTCCTGGTGCGGCTCAGTATTCAGTTCTTTGCATCTGCAGCCTTGCTGCCTCAGCTTGTCGAGTCGGGACTTCAACTTTCTCTGTTCCTGCTGGACTTCACCGAGCCTCTGAGCATGCTCAGTCTGAACCGCCTCCAGCTCCCCGTGTAGATCACAGCGGTCTATGGCTTCACCTTGATGCAGAGCCTGCAGCTCCTGTTCACGAGTATCAGAGAGAGAAAGACACATCAGATACTCACAAGCACCTTCTGGCGAACGAAAAGACATGTGATGTGTACTGGGGTAAAAACCTTTTCAAGCTGTTTCTGTCTGCATAGTGTTGACTGAAGTTTGTCGTGCTGAGCACTATACATCTGAAGGAGTTCCATCACCATGTAGTCCTTACTGTGATCCACAGTCACACCAACAGACCGCTTACTAGCTGACGTATCTACTTTCTGCCATTCATTTGGACTGGCATCATCTGACTGGCCACTTTTTTCTTGCCCTGTATCAATTAGATCTCACATTTAGAAACGTACATATTTATTTATGCAATGTTACTTATGGTGGGTGCAAACTGACCTGCAAAGGTGGGTGTCTTTGGGTCAGTGTCGTGTGCATCCTGGTTCTTTTCGTCCTGAGTATCGCCCAGTGCCTCTGTTCCTATAGACCCCATTTCCTTTTCAGACAAACACTCAGAGTGTTGTGCCAAGTTGTTCCCAGCCAGCTTGTCAGGAGTGTACTGGTACCAGCTGGAGAGGAAAACAAAAAAGATAGTTACTTGCAGTTGTGTACTAAAACTACTTCTAGTTGTAGAATTACTGCAGTAATATTGTTTTGTTTTTTAATGGTAATTGTGAATATGATTATAATCATTAACATGAGATCTGAGTGTTTAACATTGTCCTATACATCCACAATATACATAAAGGTCACTAAGAATTAGTGTGAAAGCTTTCAAGGAACATGTACAGATAATATTTCACCTCAAAATTAACTGAAAGAAATATAAAATTATATTTTATAATCAGACAGCAAGGCCTGTTTTTAATTAAACAATAAATAAATGTAATAATTTAAATTAAAATAATTGTGTTCATTCCAATTAAGAATATCACCCTACATTATCATAATCAAATTGTAAAATATTTATACATCATAATAGCATATATTTATTTATTTTAACATTCATTTAAATATGATCCTTTTAATTCATTCATTTACATATACATTATTAATTAATTTTAAGATGTAAAAAATACAGATGTACTGCAGTAATTAATTAATTAATTTACAGTAATTAAAAATACAAAACATCATATCACAATGACAATGCAAAAAACATCTTAATAGTCACATAAGATTTAATTTCTTTGTGCTTTGTATATTATCATATATTTTTTTTTTTTTTTCAGGATGAAATATTGCCAGAACTCTATTTCTTTCAACTTGCCGCTTTTTGTCAGGGGTTGCCACAGCAGAATAATCCGTATAGCTGTTTTAGAACATGTTTTTTGTCGGATATCGTATTTTTCTGATATATTATTGAATAATGTATATTTGTTATTGAACTGAACCTTTGCCACATCATGTCATCATGATCGGGTTCCTCCTTAAGACTGGCAAGCAAACGTGAGTCAAACACAAAGGCAGGTGAAGATACTTCCTGAAAGAGAAATAAAAAGAACTCGTTAACCTTGTTTCAATAACAAAGAGGAATTGATTAAACCATTGTGTGTTAATGCAGATTGCTCTTGACGTATTACAAGTCCCTTTAGGTTTCTCACTTAGAGATCATTGATTTGATCCCTTCACATGCCAAGCAGCCTCTTGTGTGTCATTTCTGCACGGCTTCATGCACATACACCGTTAGCTCTTGCGATTTCTTCTATTCCAAAAGAGAACCCAGATCTAGAAATATGTAAATAAGATCTAATATCCCTGTGAATGGATTGTGAAATCTTATCCAGGATCAACACTCTCATTCTGACATGTTTTAAAGGCCTCTGAATACTGGAGGAAATATGGATGCTTCTTCCATCAACAGTCGGTGACGTACGCTACTTTAATGTAAATAGGCCATCTGATCTATCATAAAGCCTCAGCGACCAGCTTGCACACCACACTCACACTCAGAGCATGTGCGGACTTAAAAAAAAACACCCACACGATGTAGAAACTAAAATTTCCTTTGGTCACAGCGTAACAATTCACACATACTCAAAAGTCCCTCCGCTATGGTTGCGAAGCACGGACCTGAAACTGTTCTTCATTTGATACTTGTGAAGTTCTTCTATGATTGTAACTGTATACCAGTGGTAAGAACGTCTCTTAGAAACAAAACAAGCAATACAGGTTTATTAAAAAAACACGCGCACACACTTTCATACATTTCCATGTGAAGTCATGTGCGAGGGCTCCAGACGACTCTGTGTGGGGGAGGGGTGGGCTGTCTGGGGACCGTCACGTGGCGCTCATGGCACGAGGACTCTAATCTACACTGCTATTTACGACACGACATGAGCAGGACGGTCACTCTTAACGCACTACAATGACATGATTCATTTGAGACCTCGTGAAATAGCACAAATGCACCAGATTGATTCAATGAAACTTCCTGCCTTTACCTTAACCTTGTCATTGATGTGCTCATTACAGGTTTTTTTTGTGTAGATAGATAGACAGACGGATAGACGAACAGACAGACGGGCAGATAGATAGATAGATAGATAGATAGATAGATAGATAGATAGATAGATAGATAGATAGATAGATAGATAGATAGATAGATAGATAGATAGATAGATAGATAGATAGATAGACAGAAATACAGACAGACAGACAGACAGACAGATAGATAGATAGATAGATAGATAGATAGATAGATAGATAGATAGATAGATAGATAGATAGATAGATAGATAGATAGATAGATAGATAGATAGATAGATAGATAGATAGATAGATAAGATAGATAGATAGATAAAGAGACACAGACAGACGGATAAAGACAGAGAGAAAATTAACTATAAAATAAAATGCTGTCTAAGTATATTATATCTAATAAGTATTAATATATTTTTTATTAAATGTAAACAGAAAGTCCAGTCTGCATCCGGAAAATGTGCTGTCTGAGAACAGCAGTTGCTGGGGATGTTGTTGAGTCTCTGGCTAAGCATTATATAATGAGATGAGAATTCACTGAATGCTCTGAGATTTGATTGGCTGAGAGGGAGGCTGGGGCCAGGGCTCTGCTCTCTGATTGGTTGATGATGGAGGTCCTGCAGGGTGATTGCTGGGCTTGTAAGGGGGAGCAATACTCTGCACAGGCACATGTAACAGAATGTCCCAGACGCTCTCTTTCACTCTCTCTCTCTTGATCTTTTTGCTCATTCTTTCCTCATTTTTTTTCTCTTCCCTCCCACCCACTCTTTTCTCTCTGTTTCTCTCCCCTGTTGCCGTGGCTCCGGCTGTTTGTGCAGACTCTGTCAGAAGGAGTTTGAGAGTCTAGTGACCTGGTTTGAACCACATTCAGCCATTTCCTTTGGAGGGAAACATCTGGTGTGGCATGAGAGCTGGATTCAGCTGACCCAACATTCGATTTTCTGTTTACTTTCCACTCCAAACATTTTTAAAAATTTCTGACTGAGACAAATATGATCTTCCAAACATTATAACTTGCTTATAGGGTGAATCCCACAAAATATGTCAAGAACATTTCATATATCACCTTAAAATTAAAGAAAATGAACATTGTATTGTATTGTATTACAAATACTTTATGGCACTAATAATTTGTGGAGAATTTTAGACTTTTGGGCTTGAAAATGAACCAAAGATCTTAATGCTATTATAAATATGCTTAATTTCCTTTATGAAAAATATATAATATATCTTCCTTTTTATCTTGAGGCAAAATTTGTCTTTTTTGTTTGTTTTTGTGAGATTGAAATCACAACATGTAAATAGGAAAATGTTTGCGTTATTTTGTCACTTATTTGGATTAGTATGCTAGCTGCAACCTTTTACATCTAGTCTTTGTGCTAAGCTAGGCTAGCGGTGGGTGCGTCACTGCGTCAAACAGACTTCTAGCACGCACGGAGATGAAAAAGGTATGTATGGACTTATCTAACTCTGGGGGATAAGGTGAATAGGCTAAAGTCCCAAAAAGTCGGAGTGTTCCTTTAAAGGTTAATGTGAACAAACTTTAAAACAACATTGATCTATAATACCTGATAAATGTAATTGGAGCAATTACATTATTATGATTACTTACTTTCTGAATGAAAATAGATTGCATAAGAGATACTCACTATATGTGGCTGCCTCTTCTCCTGCTGGAACTTCGCCTTCATATCCTGCAGAGACTGCTTTAGCTTCTCTTCATCCGCTGATCCCAGGTGTCTTTGTGCCAGCTGCAGATAACAGGCCCACTTGGCAGAATCGAAGCCCCAGTGACATGTGCGTTTGTCTGGCTGTCGATGGGAGTGCATGACAAAGCGCTCCGGGCAGAAGAACATCCGGCATTGGGAGCAGCGGATGCAGGGCGCATCCGGGCAGGAGTAAAGCTGGGGTACAAGCAGGCCTTGACACTTGCCAAGACATTGGTGTTCCACCCAAAATCCTCCAGATTCCTCGGCGTCTTTCTCTTCCTCCTCTTCAGCCCCGTGCCCTTTGTGGGAATCAAGAGATGGTTCCTCTCCTGGATGCAGCAGGGTGTAGCAGAGACGTTGAGCATCGGTCAGAGTGATGAGGCCGCAGGATGGAGTCCCTGGAGGAAGGATGGCCAGCACTTTGAGAATGTGTAACTGTGTGGCATCACAGCGGGAACAGTACAAATACAGCTGGTCACACACTGAGTTGATCTGTTGCAACGAGAAGTCCCGCAGGACGGTGTTTAGCAGCTGGGGCAGACAAAGACGCAGTTCGCCTCCCACAGAGAAGCAGGAGATGGACTCGCCCTCCAGACAGCAGATGCTGAGGTCTGTAGAGCTGTCAGGGGGGACTAGTAGGGGCCCTCCTGCAATACCTCCCTGGGCCAGAGGGGGCGCCAGCTTATACTGACCATGATGACCAGTAAACGCAGCCGGGCCACCGAGGGAACATTGGCTGCTCAGAGAGAACTGCGCTAGAGTGTGCTTCAAACCAGGGCTCAGATCCGGAGTGGCCTCTATCCTGTTCGTCGCTTTGGAGACCTGATAGCCGAGAGAGGTTTCTGGGATTTTTTTGCAGGATAGATTGAGAGCAGCCATCACACGTTTCTTTATGGGAGCGCCGTCTATGCCTTTGTCTCGCATCGACCGCTTTAATGGGACTTTTAGAAGTGCCTGCTCCTTGGGGATGTCTGGACGCTTGTTCTCAGTAGTCGCCATAATGTTGTTTATAGATATAGCTAAGTGGTCTTCAGGGACCGGAAGATACACAGAAGAAGTCTCAGGAATGCAGTGGTTTTTATATGTGGATCATAGTCTTCAATGCTTCCCAGATGACTGAAAAGTCGAAACAAGCATCACAGATTAATACATATAAAAATAATTTTAGATAGTAAAAGTAACATTTAACAGGCATCTGTTATTTTTTTATTTTTTTATTAATAAATGTAATAAGATAGAGAAGAAATATTTTAAAATATAATACAATACATTGTTGATCTTATATATTTATAAAAAAAAAACATTAAAATTATAAATCAAAGAAATAAACAATTTTTTTTATTTCAGCTAGTTGCCAAGGCAATATTTCTCATTTTCATTTAGTTTAACTTGATGCACTAAAATAATTTAAAATATTGATTAAAAACAATAATATCATTTCAATTATACTAAAATAAAACTGATGTGTGAACATCTAAATGTCTGGGAAATTCGATTCATTCACAAAATAGTTTCATTTAAATACATGCCCTAACCTGGCTCTTTTCCAGGAAAACTAATGGTATTAGCCAATAGTTTTTTTTTTTAATGGTTTTGTGTTTCGTCAGCGATAGCGAAATCTTGTCTCAAATTAATCATATCTGTAGGCTAATGTGTTTTGACTGCAGGCCCCGCCCTCCGCGCACAAGCCCCGCCTCTCTAACCGGGCTTCTTCTCTTCTTCACAGCCAGAGCTCCGCCCCTCCCCCCTCAGCCGTGGTAATGACATTCACTCAGTCGTGCCAGAGACCTCTGCGGGACTACCCCCATATGTTCCCACACACCTATGACACTTTAACATCTCACAACAAACTGTGAAGGCACCCCTCGAAAGATTTCAATTGCCGAAAAAATAGTCGGGTTTTTAGAATTAGTGGTAATAAAAACATTTAGGTTCTGCCCATTTGAAATATGATCAACGCGATGTTAAAAGAAATATAGCTACATTGTTAACTTATCTAACAGCGCTTGAACTAAATGATCTATAATCGTAGTCGATTACTGTCGATTATCAAATGTCATATATATGAGCAATCTTAAAAATCGATATAAAAATAAATTCAAATAGGCTATAAAATACAACTGAAACAGTCGAAAATAATCCTGTACGATTATAAAGGAGGCATTCAATGTAATGGCACGGGAGGGTGCAATATCATGAGAAACTGAATATAATAATCATATAAAATATTGAAAATACGTTCTTTCGTTATAGAGAATGTAAACCCACATAAAACAACATATATTCAAGCTTACCTTTAAATCTGAAGATTCCACCCACAGTTTTTTTGACGAGAAGCGAAGGAAAGCTCGTGAGATATTTGTGTTTTTATATCATGGGATTCCGTGTCGGAGTTCACAGTCGAGCGAGCGCCCGTCGCCCTGCCGCTGATAACACTGGTGCTGCTGACTTCATGCTGATAGACTTACAACGTCAATCCACAACCCAACAACCTACGTCACCCGACGGGCTGCCACGGCTAGACGGCGTGATTTAGCGGAGGAAGTCTGTCTGTCGATCTGGGGGGCGTTGCCAGCATTTCTATAAGCCCCGCCCTTAACCTAATCACTGATTGGTTAAGCTCTCTGAATGTCTACTGAACTGTCCAATTGCAGTCGGTTGCTCCTATTCTGGCTCCTACCAGCTAGTCATAGCAACCGCAGCAAGAGTAGGAGGTCTGTCTCTAGCGATCTAGGCTAGGGTTTACATGTGTGGTAAACATTCAAGAATTATTGTGAACCGTGGTAAAGGTGTGTGCAGACATTTGTAAAATCGATTTTATTTTTGGATAGCTTGTTGCTTAATTAACACAGATTGACTAAGCAAAATATTATAAAATGATTAAACATAGATGTAATAAGTCATTTTAAAATGACTTTTATTTATTTTAGGGAGGATTTCTCAAAGAGTGGGTTTATTTTTGAAAGGCAAAAACTTTTCATTAATAGTGAAGCATGTTGTCACATTTGCATGTTTTGTCTCATATTTATATCTGGTGTAGGGTTTAGAAAAATAACAAAATGTCATACCATTGTTTTGAATAACAGAAATAGTGATTAATACATTTTATTGTATACTTTTGATTGAACACGTACCCAAGATCTATAAGCTAATGGAAGTATGATGGCAAGACAGAATCCACAAATATTAATCTAGTTTAAGACAGTTTTGAACTGAACTGGACTTTTGACTCTAAAGCTTATAGTTCTCTTTCATAGGTTCACTCAACGCTGCGGAAAGCGCAGTGGGATATCCTCTGGATGTGCCGATTGTCTGAAGCCCTATAGAATCACGCCAATCCATTGGCTGATGGCGCTCGCGCAAAGCTGGCTCCGCCCCGACGCTCTTACGTCGTAGCATGATGTACGCGCGCGCGCCATCTTCTCCTCAGATTTCTCTGCCTTCACGAAGCGGTCACATCTCGCCCTTCGTGCGGTTTTTCTGAGCCCGAATTCTTCAATTCAACTTCAGCTTTCGTCTCGACACTTCAGCGACTGGTATAAGTGGAACTCTGTTCTCCTTACAGTGAAGTGTCATGGATTATCGACGCTGCTCTCCGCCATGCGTTCGTTTCATCTCGAACGACGACCCTCACAGTAAGTGTGTTAAATGTATGGGTTTTTCGCATGCGCGTGAGGCTGTATTAGGATTGTCGAAATGTAAATTTTGTGACAATCTCCTTCTCAAAACCCTCCGCTCTAGACTCGCGGTTTTTGAGAAGGAGACATTCGTTTCCCCCCGTCGCGCTCCCGAGACTGCTGAGGCCTCTCGTGGATCCGCGGCCTGGGGTTCGGATGTTGAGCTCGAGGATATTGAGTATGAGCAGACGGGCCTCGCCCTTTCTCTCCCTCCCTCTCCCGAGCACGCACGCGGCGCGGTTGAATTCGCGCATGATTATTTATGTCCCAGCCCGGGAGCCCGCGAATCGGTTTCTTTCGGTCTGGATGACGTTATTTACACTGCAGCCTCCGACTCCGAGGATTTCGGGCCTGCTCTGGCTGATGACGTTATCCCGCCTAGCGGCCAGGACGCGCGGCCTACTCCGGCCTACACTGAGCTTATTGAGGTGCTGTCGCGCGCTACAGAGAAGCTCTCTATTGACTGGCCTGATGAGCCCCGCGAGTCTCAATCGTCCAAACTCGACGAGAGGTTCCTACGTGGCCCTAATTCTAGGCCAGAACGAAGAAAGCTGCCCTTTTTCAGCGATCTGCATCACGAGATCTCCAGATCCTGGAAGCAGCCATTCTCCGCACGCCTAACTAATGCGGCAGCCGCTGACTTCACCAACCTTGTTGGTTTTGTGGAGCAGGGTTATTCCGCTATTCCAGCGGTCGAGGACACGCTGGCTAACCACCTCGCCCCGTCGTCTGCACCGTCTTGGAAGGCGCGTCCCCTTCTTCCTTCCAAGGCTTGTAGGACTACTTCCTCCCTTATTGGGAAGTCTTACATGGCGGCTGGTCAGGCAGGCATGGCCCTGCATACCATGGCCATCCTTCAAGCCTACCAAGCGGACGTCTTGAAGGACATGGATGAAGGAGAGGGACTGACGCCCGAAGCTGTCAAAGAGCTTCGCAAAGCCACAGATCTGGCCCTAAGAGCCACCAAGCACACTGCTCGGGCTGTAGGTCGCTCTATGGCGGGCTCGGTTGCTGCAGAGCGCCACCTCTGGTTGAATCTCACGGAGATCCGAGACAAGGATAAGAGTTTCCTCCTGGATGCCCCTATCTCCCACTCAGGTCTTTTCGGGGAGGCGGTCAACACGGTGGTTGACAAGTTCCGCGCCGCTAAGTCTCAGTCGGCCGCGTTCAGGCAGTTTATGCCCAGGAGGGTCAGAGGGCCCAGTGACTCCAACCCTCCCCCTTCTCAAACCCGAGAACGCTCTGCTCATAGGGCTGAGTTCCCTACTAGCAGGAGTGACCCGGCTCGCCACCCACCAACTACTGTCTGGGGAGCCCGAGGTCGTCCATTTCCTCGCCAGCGCCCTCACAAGCGCCTTCAGCTGAAGCGGTCCAACAAATCGGCCGCTCCAGCCTCCTCGAGCCGTTCCTGACCCGCAGGGCAGGAAGAGGAGAGCCTCATCAGATCTACGAGGTTGGGACAGACCGCGCAAGCGTTTCTGCCCTCCTCCAGCCGGCTCTCCTCATCCAACCCTGTCACCTTCGCCACCCAGCGTGTTTCGAAGTGCAGGTCCTGTTTCACTCTCTTCACCCAGTCCGGCGCAGGAGGAAGGAGACGCATCTTGCTTTCTCCCCTCGCTCCCGGTGCACGTTACACCCGCCAATCGCTTCCTCAGAGGCACAGTTCTTTTTCCTCTGGAGCAGGCGGACCCAGTTACTTCTATCCAGGTGGTGGTACCCCCCAATACGTGTCAGGACGCCAAGCGCTCTCCTCCACGGTCAACCGCGCCTCCCCATGGAAACCAGCGCGACACCCTACCTCAGGTATGTCCCTTGCACTGCAACACTCCTCTGCCTCTATCACATTTCGTTCAAGAATGGGAGCGTTTACCAGGGGTATCGCCTTGGATCCTTCGCACAGTTCGGCTCGGCTACACGCTTCAGTTTTGTCGCAACCCCCCCTGCTTCAACGGGGTCTTTCCTACTGTAGTCGACAGCGCCGCTCAGGCTTCTGTACTACAGCAGGAGATTTCATCCCTTCTGCTGAAGGGGGCGATAGAAGAGATTCCTTCGGGGGAAGTCGAACAGGGCTTCTACAGCCGTTACTTCCTGGTCCCGAAGAAGGGGGGCGGCCTGCGGCCGATACTAGATCTTCGCCGGTTGAATTTCTCTCTTTACAAAGGAAAATTCAAAATGTTGACGCTGAAGGCCATCATATCTCATATCCGGCGGGGGGACTGGTTCGTGACGGTAGACCTCAAGGATGCTTATTTCCACATCCAGGTCGTACGGCGACACAGGAAGTTCCTCAGGTTCGCCTTTGGAGGGAAAGCGTACCAGTACAGGGTCCTCCCCTTTGGCCTCGCTCTAGCGCCAAGGACGTTCACAAAGTGTATGGATGCTGCTCTGGCCCCGCTGCGGCTCCAGGGCATCCATATACTCAACTACCTGGACGATTGGCTCCTTTTAGCCCACTCCAGAGAGTTGGTGACTCACCACAGGGACATTGTCCTCCGTCATATTCAGTCTCTCGGTTTGAGGCTGAATACGGAGAAGAGCGTTCTTACTCCAGCTCAGAACACGGTTTTCTTGGGGGTATGCATGGACTCCGTTCTTATGCAGGCCCGTTTGGCTCCTGCACGGATTTCCAGTCTGGTGACATGTCTGTCCCGTTTCGCACTAGGCCAGCATGTTTCCGTGAGCACCTGCCGCAGACTTCTGGGCCTTATGGCCGCGGCCTCCCCTGTGCTACCTCTGGGGCTGCTCCACATGAGACCTTTTCTGTGGTGGATGAAGCTCTCAGGGGCTCGGCCCACGGGGCCAGCCTTTCGCCTATTGAAGGTGTCGCGCAGTTGCTTTCGCGCCCTGTCAATCTGGCGGGACCCCCTCTTCCTTCAGAAAGGAGTCGGTATGGGTGCGGTATTCCGTCGCCAGATGGTTACGACGGATGCCTCTCTGACCGGCTGGGGAGCGGTTTTCGAGGGCAGGCCAGCGTGTGGGGTTTGGACTGGCGAGACCCTCTCGTGGCACATAAACAGCTTGGAGCTGAGGGCTGTCTTCCTGGCTCTTTGCCACTTTCTCCCTTTCCTCGAAGGACACCATGTCATTGTCAGAACGGACAATATGGCAGTAGTGTCCCATGTAAACAGACAGGGGGGTTCACGATCGCGTACCCTAGACAGGCATGCGCGTCACCTTCTCCTGTGGTCCCAGGACAAGTTCCTCTCTCTGAGAGCAGTTCATGTCCCAGGGATTCTGAACCTCGCAGCAGATTTTCTGTCGAGGCAGAAGCTCAGGTCTGGGGAATGGATGTTGAACCGCCAGTCGGTGGCCCTGATCTGGGAGGTGTTCGGAAAAGCGGAAGTGGACCTCTTTGCATCTCAGGAGTCGTCCCAATGCCCGCTTTGGTTCTCTCTGAGCCCTCCAGCTCCATTGGGGATAGATGCGTTCGCCCACCCTTGGCCGATGCAGAAACTCTATGCCTTCCCGCCCATCAAGCTGATCCAGGCGGTTCTGTCCAGAGTGAGGGAGAGCGGAGTCCGCCTCCTTCTGGTAGCCCCATTCTGGCCGTCCCAGCCATGGTTTTCGGAGCTGATCCCTCTGTTGGAATCCTCCCCCTGGGAGATACCGGTCAGGGAGGACCTGCTTTCCCAGCTTCAGGGCAGGATATGGCATCCTCGCCCCGACATTTGGAAGCTGTACGTTTGGCCTATCAGAGGCCGTTAGCTTTAAGCTTTGATCTCCCAACCGACGTTCAGGAGACTATTGCGAATGCTAGAGCCCCTTCGACGAGGAGGCTATATTCCTCCAAGTGGAGGGTGTTCGAGGCGTGGTGCTTAGCACATGATAGGAACCCAGTTAGCTGCCCAGTAGGCTCAGTGCTGGAATTCCTGCAGGAAAAGTTTGCTTCCGGAGCGGCCGCTACCACTCTCAGAGTGTATGTCGCAGCTATTGCTGCTCATAGAGAATCGGATGAGATTCCCTTGGGGAAACTGAGGTTAGTTTCGGCCTTCATGCGTGGGGTTAGGCGCCTGAAACCGGCTCGCCCCCCTAGTGTTCCCTCGTGGGACCTGTCAGTCGTCCTGGAGGGTTTGACAGAGGCTCCCTTCGAGCCCTTGGAGTCAGCTCCTGAGCGGATTCTGACTCTTAAGGTTGCTCTTTTGTTAGCTTTATCTTCACTGAAGCGGATAGGGGATTTGCAGGCTCTCTCTATTAGTGAGTCATGCTTGGACTTCGCTCCTGGCCTGGTTAGGGTTACCTTGAGGCCGAGGTCGGGGTATGTACCCAAGGTTCTTTCCACGGCGTTCCGCTCTCAGGTTGTTAACCTTAATGCTTTCCACCCTCCTCCTTTTGCCTCTGAGGAAGAAAGGAAACTTAACTTGCTCTGCCCGGTCCGTTCTTTGAAGTTGTATGTAGATCGCTCAAGCGGTTGGAGGAAATCAAACCAGCTCTTGGTATGTTTTGGTGCTGGCCGCCGCGGGCTTGCAGCATCAAAGCAGAGGATTTCCCACTGGGTAACGGACGCTATTTCGCTGGCTTATGAGGTGCGTGGTTTGCCTTCACCTCTTAGCATCAGAGCGCATTCCACCAGAAGTGTGGCTTCCTCTCAAGCTCTCTTTAGAGGGGCCCTCTTGGAAGACATTTGTGTGGCGGCAGGTTGGTCCTCTCCGCACACCTTTGTGAGGTTCTATAATTTGGATCTTGACATGACTCCAGGTTCCCAGGTTCTATCTGCTTGAACCTATCATGGTTGTTCTTATTTGGTCTGGTACCGGTTATGGCAGCGCTTAGCTTGGCGAGTTTGGTATTTCGTTCCCACTGCGCTTTCCGCAGCGTTGAGTGAACCTATGAAAGAGAACGTCTCTGGTTACTTACGTAACCTATGTTCTCTGAATAGGGAACGAGACGCTGCGTTCGCTGCCAAGCTCCTCGCGCTGCCGACAGTTTTTCTTTTCGGCAGAGAAATCTGAGGAGAAGATGGCGCGCGCGCGTACATCATGCTACGACGTAAGAGCGTCGGGGCGGAGCCAGCTTTGCGCGAGCGCCATCAGCCAATGGATTGGCGTGATTCTATAGGGCTTCAGACAATCGGCACATCCAGAGGATATCCCACTGCGCTTTCCGCAGCGTCTCGTTCCCTATTCAGAGAACATAGGTTACGTAAGTAACCAGAGACGTTTCTAAGATAGCCTTTGTGACAACTTTCCAGTCTGATAACTAACCCTATAGTCTCCTTGTGTGATTATTTTTAAAAACATATTCTCAATCATTTACTAGATTGCAAATAGTTTTTTCTATATTGCTAGCTATTTTCTAAAACAATTGTACGTCATATCCATACCATAGGTTGTTTAGTCATTGTCTATGTATATTTAGTTCAATCTTTAATTTTAGTCCTGTCATTCAGCATCATTTACTGTGACTAACACAGAGTGCAAGTTGCTAATTCATCCTTTGGCCTTTGTTTACATAAATCATGTATTTTCACATTATGACATAGTGCTTAGCATTCACCAGCTGGTACTAAGTAAATATTAAGTGCTGTTGTTTACCTCCAACCTCCAGTATGTACCAGTTGATGCCAAATCCTTTTTTTTTTATGTAAATATATATTTGATACAAGATGGTTTTATGAATGGATGGAATGGCCATACAGGTCCCCAAAATATCACTTGATATTGTATTTGAGCATGAGTATATCTTTACTTTCTGTTTACATTTTGTGTAATGATTCCTCCAGACATCAATTTGCATTCCCTTTCTTCTTTGTGTCCTTTTCCATGTGGACATTAGCATAAGGCAAATGGCTCTAGTTTGACTTTCATTTGCGTCAAAGTTAGCATTTCTATAGTTTAGCTGCTAACATGTTGTAAATTCACACCCTGACCTATGCCTGGATTACTCAAGTCAGAGGAAACACCCTAATGGTTAGACATTTGTACAACTGTGTGTTAGAAAGAAAGAATGTATAAGCATCATAAAATTATAATCCTTAAGTAAATCATTTATGGGTCACCATTACGAAAACATCTGTAACACTAGTTGGCCGCTGTGTGTGTTTTCCAGGAAAGCTATTTTGTGTTTTTTTCTTCAGTCTGAGACTAATTTAATGTTCTTTTGAAGCCTTTGGCTTTTACTTTTCATTACTTCCAGTCTCTCAGATAAACCTTTTCAAAGCACTAGAATAAACAACAACAGTTTCTCTGCTATTTTGAGAGTGAATTGGAAAGTTGCAAAGGGTTGAAAAGCAATAGGTAAAGTGGCAGACCTGGAGGCAAAACAAGTGTAATTCAACCTATCCAGAAAGAGATCCATGAATTTAAAAAAAAGAAAAATGTAAATATCTTTCAGAACCTAAAAGCAATAGTCATGGTTTCTGAATTATGTGCAGTGCAAACATAAGTTATTAAAAGTGTCCGAAAAAACAACAATGCTGAACAGTGCATTAGAGTATAGTTGGAAAAACTGTATTCTGCTGCACCTGATAGATGAAGAGACTGAGACTCAATTGGCTAGATTAATGTACCAGGGAATTTAATAATTTATTTTATTAATTTATTTGCCCTCACCTATCGTCTTCCTTTCATTATGTTGTCACTCTCCCCTTGCCAAGCAACAGGACTCTGATTCGTATTTTTGGAACCTTCAAAGCAGACGGCTCGCAGAATATACACAGAGGACAAAACAAAGAGAGAAAAATCCTTGTTGCTAAGGAACAGAGGAAAAACAGATCACCAGGAGGACCGCTTGCATGAAATAATAGACCAAATTAAGCTGAATTACTACACCGTGCCTCACAATTGTAATAACTCAATGTGTGTTTGTCACTTAAGACATTAAAAGAAATAAAAATACTTGTACACTTTAGTCTAGTTTGCATGCATATAACAAACACACTATCAATATATTCTGTAAATGATTCTGTCATTTTAATATGCATAGTCAGTATACTGTCTTTCAGGGAGTACATTTACATTTAAATCATATCTAATCAACAACAATGTCCAGCGTTTAAAACAACATCGTTTATGATGTTGTTCTAAAACTCATACAGGAATATTTCATAAAGACTTGGTGAATAATATACATTTAGAATATAAGGTCACATCGGGAAGTCCATGGAAATTAGCTGCACTTTTAAAATTAAAAAGCAAACTAAATAAATGTTCATCTGTTGTCGGCAGTATTCTAACCTTTATTCTTGCACAACTGAAGAAGTTTCTAAAATACATGTTTAACCTGAAAGGGGGAAAAGGCATTCGTGAGATTATTGTGCTTGTTATGTATGGAGAAGTTTTGTTTCACGGAATATCATTTGAGTCTTATACCTGCTTTTGTCTTCTCTTGATTTGCATTTCTTGCTGTTGTTTTGCCCTGACCTCTTCCAGAGTTAGGCATCCACCTGGGGAAATAGTAGACATGGTTAAACCAGACTACGAATAATTATTTTCTATGAAAATATTGATTATATTTACTAATTGACGCATCTAGAAATCTTGACTGTCAAATGTGGTAATCCAGGGATCGTCTGTATTTAGTATTTGTAAGTTACCACACTCATTAATGGTTTTACAATTGTGTAAGACCATCCTGGGATGAGTTTCCCAAAACCATCATAAGCCAATGGTCGCAAGTTCCGTTGAACTCGGTTGGTAACGAGGGAACTCGCGTCTATATTATATCCTCCTGGGACCCAGGAATAGACTTTTGTCCACTTTAGTGGACATTATATTTTAGTGAATTTCTCTGACATCATACATGTCACATGTCACACCTGGGTGTCCTGTAAAGAGCCCATTCAGGGCTTTTCAGAGATACCAAATGTTTTGTAGTTTCACCATGAAAACAACTTCTCCTTGGTCTTTAAAAATGTCTGACATTAATTTAGTCATCAAATGTAGCACTCTTATGGAAATATGATAATATATTATAATTATAATTTAAATTACTACTTTTCAAATTGTATTTCATAAAGCAACATTGGGAAACCGTTGTGGGGTTTCAAATAAAAAAATGACTTTCTGTTACAGAACAGGGCATTTATTTCAAACGTGTCCACTGTAGAGGACATCAGGACTAAAATCATGTTTATCAGGCATTTTGGGAGACACAACAAGTGAATATGGAAATAAATTATACATCAATATTCCTATGAAATATTAGATATTATTATTAAAATGTTGAATGTTGAATGTAATTGTCCATGGTGAATGTTGCTGATCTGTGGACACTGAATAGTTCATTCATGGCACAATGTTTCTTCCTGGTTTCCGTGTCAGCGCTGTTTGATCCGTTAATAACGGAGAAATGTGAATGTTTCTCACTAGATCTCTTTTTTCTTTACTGGATTTCGCTGTGTAGTAACAGTGCTGCTTGATTAAAGCCCATGGTGCAGGTTAAACACCACTGTCGATTAATTGGTACATAAAGCAGTCAAGATATGTAAATAAAGTTAGAAATGTCTCCAAAATGGTGTTAAAGTCCAGTTTTTGTAGTTTTTGGTTAGTAACGGTTATTTTTTACGCAATCACCAGACACCAGTTTTTACCTGCAGTCACCAGCAAGAACTAGCCCGCCATCCATTGCCCGTAGGTCACTAAAATTCTTTGCTTGATCGTTTTGCCAGGCCTGAACGATTACAGGGATGGTGTAGCGGCGCTGATGGCGAAAGAAACTGCTCGCACTGATGCACTGCAGGCCAAACAGAGTCAACATTCTTAATGTCTAGGTGGCCAAACATCCAGTGAAATGAATGGCCCCACTTAACAGGAGGTTGCAGGTCGTCATGTTCCTGTGGAGCATTGGCTGGTTTTGCCAGAAACGGTGGTAGCCACATGAATGATGCACAGACCTAGATATGTAAGAAAAAAAATTACACTTCTTTTTTTCATTAAATGTTACTCCAAGAACACATTACTGTGCACATTAGATACAGTGTATAGATACATTGCATTGAATGGGAATATTAATTTATGGCCATTTTACCCACATATTGCATAAAGTAAAATGGTGTATCAATTCATTTCGTTATATCTTTCATAACTTAGTTGAGAATCATCTTTATACAAATTTTGCTTAAAAAAAATCCTGAAACCTAAACAATTTTTGTTGATTGAAAGTAAAATCCCATTGTTTTTGTCTATACATATAATTTCATGTCATTTTATTTTTTAAACAACTGAGTCCTGGTGTCCACTACAGAGTACATAGCATAACATATGAATAAAATATCAATTTTCAAAAATGTTTTTTTTTTTTTTTTACTATTTTTTCTTATGCTCTAAACAATGTGGTGACATGGGAAAAAAAACTAAATTCAAAAATCTTTTTTTTTTCTGCTTTGGGAAATGCAACCCTGATGTTTTTATTATTATTATTATTATTTAGTACTTGTCCCATGCCATTACATTGTTTAGAGCATGATAAACAAATGGAGGAAATGTATTATTATTATTTTTTATATATTTTAATCATATGTTATGCTGTATCTGTAGTGGACACCACTCAGTTGTTTAAAAAATAGAAAGACATGAAATGACATGTGAAACAATGGGATTTTTTTTTTTCATTCACCAATCAATTTTTAGGTTTTCAGGATTTTTTTTAAACAAATGTTGTTATGAAAGATATAATGGAATTAACTGATATACCAATTTACTTTATAATTTGTGACATTTACTTTGTAATATGTGGGTAAAATGTCCATAAATTCATACACTGTATCTAATTAGCATATTAATGTGTTCCTGGGGCAACATTTAATGAAAAAATAAGTGTAATAATAGGAGTAATAATTGGCAAAATTTTCATAATAATATCTAATATTTCATAGGAATATTGATATCATTTTTTTCCCTATTCACTAGTCTCCCAAAATGCCTGATAAACATGATTTAAGGTACTATATGTAAGAATTTTGTAATAAAATATCCAAAAATCGCTTGCACAGTGTGATATATTTCCTGTAGTTGTGTACTTACAATATTTCAAAAGTTCCCAAAGATTTTTAATTTCAGAGAAATTCCAATTTTAAATAATTGGCCGTCCCGGAATTCCTGTTCACTTGTCGCCTGTCAATAACGTAATATCCGCATTATCTCTGGTTTCTGCTAGTAGTACTGCCATAGTAACCATGACGACAGACGTGGACAACTGCGTAGTGCGTAAGGTCTAGCTGCACGCTGTTGTTGTTTCGTTCAAACATTATGGACCATGGCAAGCAGACTTTGGGGGGGAAAAGGAGCACTAAAACGAGGATCAATATCTGCGTGGCGTTTTCGAGATGAGAGCTCCACGTCCGCGAATAACTTCGACTTGACAGAGCTCTTACATGTACTTTATTAGACAGTGAGCAAATGTACATAAAACTAATCAATGTTAAATAGTTCACCATGATGGAATGTTAGAATATGATCTGTATGTTATTCTAATGTTGATCTAGTTTACTGCTATATAGCCAACAAACTAACACTGAATAAAAGTATAACTTAAACACACTCAAATGCTGTTTAGTGTGATAGTGTGTAGACCAAGTGAAACAGCGCTGCGTTACCTCAGAAGCTTTAAACTGACCTGTTTGAGTGATTCAGCACTTGTGGGTAGATCGGTAGTATTAAATATTCTTAGCAGCTATTCCTTTATATCCGCGGGATTCGCGTGTGGCGCTGATATCTTATTAGCAATCGCGCCCTGCTTCATACCACAGTCATGATAAAAAAACATCAATGTATTTACTCATCCATAAACATTATTAGATCCATCGGCTTGACGACAAGTTCCATAATTCCGCAGAAAATGTTGCATCATCAACCTACGCCTTTGTTATTGTAAGAGGTTTGCGACCCCTAGCGGCGAAAGAAATTACATATTGTATCTTTAAGTCCTGGTGTCCTCAACAGTGGACATGTATAAAATCAATGCCCTGTTTTGAAACAGAAAGTCATATTTTGATTTGAAACCACATAACTTTTCCCTGAGATGTTGATTTATGACAAACAATTTGAAAATGAGTTAGATTTAAATTATAATGACAAAATATCATATTTCCATAAGAGTGCTAAATTTAATCACTCAATTAATGTCAGTCATTTTTAAAGATCAAGGAGAAGTTGTTGTCATGGTGAAACTGTTACATGTATGGTGTCAGAGAAATTCATTAAAATATAATGTCCACTACAGTGGACAAAAATGTATTCCTGGGTCCCAGGAAGATAAAAAAAAGGCACTTTAACTCCCCCTAGTGGTGATGACACATTCTTTTCATTTGAATCCTTTCAAATAGACTTCACATATTTGTTTTCTGACATGGTTGGTGAATGACTCACCCACAGTACTAGGAGATATGGAAATGTAACCCATGGCCCGACTCAAGCGCAGATCCTCCAGAGCTGCCAGTTCTGCTTCTGCTTCTGTTAAACAGCCAAGCATTCAGTCAGTGAGTGTTGATAGCTTAACCTTCTATAAAACTTAAAAAAAAAACAGGAAATATCCCATATTTAAATAGTGTTACCAACAAAAACATAAAATGAATTCAGTATGATAGCCTATAAGGATGATTGTGCTCTTGTTACTTTGAAGTAACTGTAAAACTTACAGTAGGCTGTGGTAGATTTGTCCCACAGCCTGACTTAGGTTGAACCGGGTGTCCTTTGACACCTGAAAATATTATACTCAGTTGAGTTACCTCTGAACGGGCGGGTTGATGCTTAAGCGTAGATTTTCTTACTGCATTAATAAAAATGCCCAAGAATTAAAGTTACCTGACCGCAATCTAACCCCGCCTAAGAGTCTCACAAAGAGTCGAATGACGTCTCGCCCTCTATTGACACTATCACTTGGAAATAAGGTCTTTGTTGTCTAACCTGTAAATTGTTACACTAATTAACTTGCTGCGCAGCAATAATAAACAGACAGTCTTCATCAAATGTCCTTCCGATGCTTTTATCACGGCCGGGAGAGTTCCCGAGCAGTTCTCAGACAATCTCCCCCAAGAAGAAGAAATTTGCCTACATCACGGCCGGAGGATCTCCGACCAATTTCAGAGAGAATCCCACCCGCAAAAGGAATACAACAGTTTTTATAGAATAGAGACAGACACAACAAATAAGATCATCTACTAACATGTCACCTTCTATCAATATGATTGGTTCAATTGGTGAAAGCAAGCCCCCAACTTTTCAGCCTCTGTTACTGGCAGTTGATTACTCAATATATCATGACATAATACAGAAAGTATATTTTTGATTTTGTCATGGTCAGCACTTTCATTTTCCATGAATACAATACTCAAAGAACAGAACGTTTTAGTACATTTTGTTCAAAGTGTTAGAATGTTAGGCCGAAAAGGGGAATAAGGTTAGATGTTAGAGTTATGGCTAGTTTGATATACATTTAACTATTTTATTCATTAGAAAATCCATCACACTACATTTACATCAAATAGGCTTGACACTTTTTACTGTCTTTTAAAATTGTGTGAGGAAAGGATCATTGGAGACAGATTATTTGTTATAAAAAAATGTAAACAAATACCAACTGAACTGAAAAATGTATTTTAATTAAAAAAATGTCCCTTGATTGCAATACTTCAATTGTGACACTATTATTTAGAAGTTAAAAAGTAATGGAAGAAAAGAAAAAGAAGCACTCTTTAAAATAATGAATTAATGACACGGTTAAGAATGCTATAATCCTTAATTTAACTGAAATTATTTTTTAAACATAATTTTTTTTTTAAATCATCCAAGGGGTTCAAAGGTTCCCCAGTTGAAAAATCACCCATTCAGTGAGAAATAAAAAGAAAATCAGAGATGCTGAAGCACAGCATATGCCTAACTTACTTTGCTGAATGTCTTGTCTTTTCTTTGGGTTTGGTGCAAATACTGTAAATGCTTTTTGACTGCCATACAAAAAAGAAAAAGGTCAGTGAGCAAAACAAAACAAGCTCTACAGGATTTACTTTTGGCAACTATTAACTACACAGTTTAATGCTGATGCTTGGATTAAGACCTGATCCACCATATGTTTTTTTTGGGGCCTCTGGCACTGTATAGCATTCCTCCTACCTGTGGATTTCATAAAGAGAATGTGATTTTGGTTGTTCCTTCGGTGCACATGTTGCAGGTTTTGACCTCGGTAAAGTCTCGGACTGTTTCTCCTTTATTGCTTTGGTGCTTCTCTCCGTCGCTTTGGGTTTGTATTCGGTGACACATCTTGGGCAGCTTGAGGCCCTTTTGCGGTGACCGACACCGACATCTCTGCTTCTGACGGCAGGTGTTGTTTCGGCTGTACTGCTTTTTTTGTTCAGATGCTTAGGTTTCGCTGCAACAGGTTTCGGCTTTATAAGTCTCGTGTCCGGCATATTTAAGTTACAGTTTTAACATTGAGGCACTCAACCTCTCATATGTCTCTCACCTATCCCCAAATTTCCTTATTCCGTTAATGAAACTTTTTCTTGAATGTACCGGTTTCAGCCAGAAAAAAAAAACAGATATTTTCATTCAAAAGGATCAACTTCAAATACGAGAAAGTATCAAAGCCGTGCGTGTCAAGTGGACAACCGTGAAAAGCGCAACCGCGTGCATGTGATCCGATTATAATGAGCGCGCAAGGCGTACACTGTGGTGACCTCGGTATCCCATAGTAACCACTAGCCTACTACTACTAATCATAATAATGAGATAGATATGCATGATTTTTAGCGAATCTCCTTTACTTTTGAAAAAAAAAATTGTGGATGTGAAAATCTATATAATCACAGTATATTTGTGTTTTGTGGATCGCCTAACCAAGGTGTATACTGTTGCTATGGTTACCACCCCTGTTGGAAGGTTGGAAGCGATTTCTGAAAACAAGCCTATTGAAAAAAATGTTTTTTAAATACATTTTTCTAAATATTTGCTAAATATAGTAACGTTATAATGTTTTTTTTTTTGTGAAAATCTTGTTTCGTAATTAAAAAAAATATATATATATATATATATAGGCTAAGCTAAAAATAAATCGATTCTAAACGAAGCCTAAACTTGCCTAAAGTTGCACAATAAGAGTGTCGGTGGGCTGCTCTATTCATTTTCTAAAATAAAGTTAATAAAACTTAAGCCTCTAGCTTTTATTAAAGCGGTTCAAACCCGGTGCATTGTAGACCTCTAGGCCTAGCTATTTTACACGCAGTCAGTGAAATGCAATATGAAGGATCATGAAACTTGAGTGTCAGAGGGCATCAAAATTGCATCCCCAGCAAATGCTTCTCTGTGCTAGAACTCTTTTTTTGTTGTTGGTGAAACTGAACGTCTCCAACCCTGAATCCACACTGTAAAAAAATATTTTCATGATTTGTTATCACAACTTTTGATCTTTTGTCAAATCAATTTAGATAATTAATATGGTTCAGGTAACATACTATTTTAAGTTTCTATTTATTAAACCAATCTCCTTCATTGTATTAACAATTTTTTTTATTTCAATTAACCTAAAAAAATTTGTAAAGCTAATACCACGCAAATAGGCTAATAGAGCTTCTTGAATCAATTAGCCTACTGAATCTGAGTGAGTGACCACAGAGCTCTCTTTAATTTCTTTCTTTCTTTTTTTTTTTTTTTACAGCAGGCCTTTTTACAGAATCCACCCCAAAACAAAATATGCAAACATATAGATAACCAATGGAACTACTTTCCACAAAACCACTTTCAAAGATGAAAAGATAGGCCTAATCAATGGGTCTATAAAAATTTAAATATGTGGCCGTACATGTATGAAAAAAGAAAATTAAAGAGAGCTCTGTGGTCATTTACTCAGATTCAGTAGGCTAATTGATTCAAGAAGCTCTATTTAGCCTATTTGCATGGTATTCGCTTTACAGATACATACACGTGCACACAATAGAATTGGGTTATGATATGCGGACAAATATAAGCATTTTATTCCTTCTGCAAAGTGTAGGTAGGTAGGTACATTTCCTCATGTATTTTTCGACGACAGAAGCGTGTACGGTCCTCCTACACTGTAAGCGGTGCTGTAACATTCACCGCCCCGATGAATTTCTATCGCTCTCTACTTTTACTTTGACGCATTAGGACATGACGGGATTGTAGCAGTCGCTGAAAACGGTCAGTGTGTGATGGGAGAACTAGCCCGTTGACTTCGGACAGGTAGGATTACCTTGAACGATCATTAATCACACGTTAAAAGACGGATGTTTAGGAAAGGTCTGCGACCGGCTGGGTTGGAAGGGAGGAGCGCACGCTCGCGCACAGAGCATCATCATTTTCTCTTTTGACTTTCATTTTGTGTATTTCGATGCACAGCAAGTTACGGTGATTTGTAGCCGTGTGCATTTCGTGTGCTCGATAAAAGGCAGCTGCTTTTATATATATCACGCCACGCCATCATTTAGGGAAGTGCAGGTCTTCAGGGACGTACAGGGGGCTCTAGCTGTCACTGCACGAACACACGCCCATTTTCAATATATGATCAAAATAATGACCCGTGGAATGAACTAGACGTAAATGCATCGACTCTGCGAGACACAGTCGTATTCAGCGGGCTTTTTGTTGGACATATGCATTTGGTTTTAATGCGATTTAACCTTCTCCGTTATAGGCCGTCGAAATGTTTTGACAAATACGGGGAGGTTTTTGGGAATCACAGTGGGTGTTTATTCACAAATGACTGCGGCTCGCGCATAAACATTGAAAACGCGCGTGGCATTCTGGCACCTGTGCGCGCGGCGCTTCCTGGTATGTGTCCATTAATGTCGTTCAGGTTTCACAGTTATTGCACGGACAGCCTTGATGTTCAAGAACTATACGAATGCTTCATTTGCTCTCGGGATTTTTATTTCTATGGCTCGTATGAAACAAAGGGCAGCGCATTACTCTCGCCTTCACGGCGCAGGCATGGCGCGATTTCACATTATTAATGTAGTCGATTTGTCTCGTTTTAGGCAGATATGCTCAGATGCTTCATTTTTGTTCAGCTGCGGCCTGGTGTGAGTAGTAATAATAATAATAATACACTATACATTTTTGGTCAAATTCAAGGTAAAATAATAATAATGATAATAATAAACTGGCAGCTGTGTGTTTCCAGAACTTAACCATAAAATTACAATGATGATATTACAAGCAGCTAGGGAGATGTTTTGGTGATTGTGTATTTTACTCTTCCTTACTGTACATATTATTAAACGATGTACTGTTAATACCAACATATGTGAGCTATTTGACCTATCAAGCATCTGAGGTCAATAGTAACAGAAAGAGCACAATTACCCACACAAACACCATTAGATTACACTAAAATAATACCATTAAAGTAAAATAAAACACCATAATGTATATAACTTATAACAAAAATAAAAGAAACTAACTTTTTTAATAAAATCCAAACAAATGTCATGCATGAATTTTTTGCATGAACTTCTGAGATGTTCCTTAAAATTTCCCTTAAAAGTGATTTGTACATTTTACATATTAAAACATAATTTAACATTATTTTACTGTTAAAAGATACATAGCTTATTGCTTTTTTAAATATAATAGCCTACAAATTCTATCTATAAATTATAAGATAATTCCCTCGCGTTTTAAAATAAATTTTCATGTATCGTCTTTTACACTTTGATATAATTTTTATTTATCATTTAAAAGGTAACTTACAGTTGAGTTAACCAATTAACATGGTTTTAGCTGGAACACTTTACATTCTTTTCCAGTTAAAATTGTGTTTTTATAACGTATAATTTATAAGGATCAGATGGTAGATTCCATACTCTGTTGTTCAGTTTAAGCATTTATTTCTGCAGATACTCCACATTTTAAATTCACAGTTCTGACAGTCTGATAGTTCCATTCTGAAATTGCTCATATTTAATGTGGGATTATCAGTTCTACTATACATACTGTATATGTATAGCATACAATAGCAGCACATACAGAATTGTAATTGCACTATTAATTTGGTTAATTTAAAAGATCCCACCAATTGTACTGAATCTGATTTGAGATTTATTTCCTGATAGAAATTCAGCTAGAACTAAAACGGTGTAACATTTTGACTCACATGCAACTTGGTTTACAGAATCAACAGATTCAACGTATAAATGAAGCCACGTAAAATAAATCTAATCTCTAAATATATGTGCTGTGTTTTCATTTATTTAGCTCATTAACTTTCATTAGTGAAACTCAGTAGACCTTTACAAGTTTGTCAGTTTCCACATCAGTCATGTGCTACCCTTCTTTCTTGTGCATAAGCAGAGTTTGTTTCAAACTGTTTGGTTGACTTGAGTTTCATCTTGCATAAGGTCGGAAGACAGGCCCTGTAAGCAAATACAAGTAAACTGTTGGAAATTTGCATGTTTAGCTTGAGTCTCTAGACAAATGACCTGCCTGTGGGTGACATAATGTATACGCACTTCTTTAGGAAATATATAGGTTACTACAGTCAATTGCACTGGGAAGCAGATTTTACAAATGGACAATTGACCTCAAGGTTGATATCTTAACTTGTGCTAGAACTTTAGTACACATGTACATATTTACGATCAACTTTATTTCAGCTTCGTGTGTCCAGATTCTCTGGAACAATGGACAAGGAGTCACAAATTAAAGCAGAACCTGCAAAGAGCACAGTCAACACCACGACCACCACAGCGGTGAACCCTTCCCATCAGGCCAATGGCACCCCGAAAACCCCCCCTGCACTCACAACTGTAACCACCTTCCACAATCAACCCACCCCCACCAACAGAAAAGTGGTGCAGGTATATTTGTTCAAACCATGCTCCCAATTGTCACAGAGTTGGCCCTTTTTAGCAATTGCGTGTGTTAAATGTTTTGATCATTATCCTGTCATTTTTCATTGACAATTATTTCACTATATGTAAATTACATGTTAATGCTAAAATTCAGCAAGTTTAGAATCATTACATTTCTTTAAGGAATTCATTAAACTATTGCAAAAGACTGGAATAAGAGCACCAACGTACACACAGAAATTAATTTAATCAGTCAAATTAATTTATAAATGGAAATATGATCATTAAAGGAATAGTGGAAATTCTGTCATCATTTACTCACCCGCAAGTTGTTTCAAACCTGTATGAGATTCTTTCTTCTGCTGAACACAAAGGAAGATATTTTAAAGAATGTCAGTTAACCAGACAGTTGATTGGCCCCATTGACTTCCATAGTAGGAAACAAAATATGGAAATATATTTTAATTATTATTCAGTATCCACATTTGGAAAGGAAAAATATATATATCTTATTTTATATTATTATTATATTATACTATAACTTTTTAGAGTACTGTTTGTAACTATTGTTTTTAATCTTTGCACAATATAATGAAGCACTTTCTTCTGTAACCATAACTTCCATCTCTTCCTGAAGGTCAATCTGTCTGGGGACCGACTGGCACCTTCCTTTTCACCTAGTGAGAGACTCAGCCAAGCTTCATCTTCGCAGCAGACCCCGAAAACGGTGTGTGTGTGCAACAACATAGAAGCACCTGCTCTCAAGAATGATGCTCGTTTTATAGGTGCTGTCATGACATTTATGGTTTAACTTCCACTGATTTGATCCATTTCTTAACCATCAGGTTTCTCT